GGCTGAGGAGTGCAGAGGAGCAGATATTCTCCAGGTTCTTTTCTTTTGGTTTTTCTTCTCTGAATGGTAAACTCCCAGCTACTTTGATATGTTTTGTTGCTATTATTTTTTGACATCATGAACATAGGTTTTGACAGACTGCTTTGCTATGCAGTGATCTGGTTACCAGTGGCAAATGCTTCATTTTGGGTTCCATCTGTGAAGCAGGCTATAAAAAAAGATATAAATTTAAAAGTTTACTCCCTGGCAATAATGTGAAACAATGGCATATTAAGAATAGTTGAAGGAACTAAAAATTTTATCTCAAAAGAAAAGTTAAGAGGATATTACAGTTGTCTTGAGAAACATGAGAGGCTGGTGTGTATAAGAGAGATTAGATTTGTTTCACTTGGATTTAAGTTACTGACATATCACTAGTAAGTATAAGTCACTCTGGGGCCTACCTTATCTTATCTCTTAGGGATTTCTGAAAGTCAGAGATCTTCAAACAAGAAAGGGTTATGTCAAGGGGTTGTGAACTTGTGATTAATGAAGAATAACTACTTGGTAGGAACACCATAGAAGGGATTAAAATGCTAGAAAACTGGCTAGTTGTAAGGCTATTATGCTTTCTTCCAATGCTTAAACTGTATGATTTCATGAATTCTTGATAGGTCCAGGGTTCAGGATCAACCAAGAGATGAAACAGGCTAATTTTCCAAAAACATTTCACTTACAAAGTGTTATAAAACTTTTAGTACACTAGATGGATTAAAGACTTAAACATAAGACCTAACACCATAAAAACCCTGCAGGAAAACCTAGACAAAACCGTTCAGGACATAGGCATAGGCAAGGACTTCAAGACTAAAACACCAAAAGCATTGGCAACAAAAGCCAAAATAGACAAATGGGATCTAATTAAACTCCAGAGCTTCTGTATCAAAAGAAACAATCATTAGAGTGAACTGGCAACCAACAGAATGGGAAAAAAATTTTCAATCTACCCATCTGACAAAGGGCTAATATCCAGAATCTACAAAGAACTAAAACAGATTTACAAGAAAAAAAACAAACCCATCCAAAAGTGGGTGAAGGATATGAACAGACACTTTTCAGAAGAAAACATCTACCAGGCCAACAAACATATGAAAAAATGCTCATCATCACTGGTCATTAGAGAAATGCAAATCTAAACCACATTGAGATACCACCTCATGCCAGTTAGAATGGCAGTCATTAGAAAATTTGGAGATCATTAAAAAATGCTGGAAAGGATGTGGAGAAATAGAACACTTTTACACTGTTGGTGAGAGTGTAAATTAGTTCAGCCATTGTGGAAGACAGTGTGGTGCTTCCTCAAGAACCTAGAAATAGAAATTCCATTTGACCCAGCAATCCCATTACTGGGTATATATCCATAGGATTATAAATTATTCTATTATAAAGACACATGCACAAGTATGTTCATTGCGGCACTGTTTACAACAGCAAAGTCCTGGAACCAACCCAAATGCCCATCGATGATAGACTGGACAAGGAAAATGTGGCACATATACACCATGGAATACTATGCATCCATATAAAATGATGAGTTTGTGTCCTTTGTAGGGATATGGATGAATCTGGAAACCACCATTCTCAGGAAACTGATACAAGAACAGAAAATCAAACACCGCATGTTCTCACTCATAGGCGGGTACTTGAACAATGAGGACACATGGACACAGGGAGGGGAGCATCACACACTCGGGTCTGTTGGAGATGGCTAGGGGAGGGACAGGGTCGGGGTGGGGAGGTTTGGGAGGGATAACATGGATAGAAATGCCAGATATAGGTGACAGTGAGATGGAGGCAGCAAACCATAATGATATGTGTGTACCTATGCAACAATCCTGTATGATCTGCACATATACCCCAAACCTAAAGTACAATTAAAAAAAAAAAAAAACTTTTGAGTACAAAGTTTACAAAACACTTTGTAAGTGAAATATGTGAGCTTCAGTTTCCTCTGTTACTACTATTCACATTACCCAAGGGATGCTTTAAATTAATTTAGCAGTTGTATACCTTATATTTTATTGTAAGTGATACAAATGACTTAATTTTTATCATAGCTCACTGGTTGAGAAGGACTTAATATGGGACAGGAGCAATAAATAAGGATGACTTCTCCTTAGAGTAGAACTGTTATGGAAGACTTCATTTATGCCATGGATATAATTATTGAGATCAGTTTTGGTGCTAGTTTAGTAATACTACTGTATTACTTAATGTCAAATATATGTTCTTTGAGGCAACGAAATTGGTGGCATATTGGACAATAAGCAGGGAGATGAAGGCTACCTTAGATAGTGGATTCAGGGACAGCATGTGGAGAGACCTCTCCTTTACCATCTCTTATCAGCTCAAATGGTAAGATGGAATCAGGCCACGTACGATGTGAGGGACAAACCCTCCAGGTAGAGGCAATAACATGTGTAAAAGCCCTGAGGTAGGAAAGAGCTTGGTTCAAGGAATGGAACAAGGCTAAGGTAGGGAAGAGTGGTGTGAGTTAAGAGGTCAGAGGCAGCAGCTGGCCACATCATTAATTAAGGATTCCATTCTAAGCACAATGGAAAGTAATTGAAGATGGTTGTCTTTTTTTTTTTTTTTTTTTAATTTCAACTTTTAGTTTTTGGGGTTCATGTGCAGGATTCTTACATGGGTATATTGCATGATGCTGAGGTTTAGGATACAAATGATCCTGTCAACCAAGTAGTAAGCATAGTACCTGATAGTTTTTTGATTCTTGCCCCACTCCTTCCCTCTCATCCTGGTAGTCTCCAATATCTATTGTTGCCATCTTTATGTTCATGAACACCTGATGTTAACTCCCACTTATAAGTGACAATATGTGGTATTTGGTTTTTTGTTCCTGTGTTAATTTGCTTAGTATGTTGGCCTTCAGCTGCATTCATATTGCTGCAAAGGACACAATTTTTTTTTCTTTTTTATGGCTGCATAGTATTCCACGGTGTATATGTGCCATATTTTCTACCATGGAATCACCCATACACAAGTATATGCCATATTTTCTTTATCCAGTCCACTGTTGATGGGTACCTAGGTTGGTTTCATGCATTTACTATTGTGAATAGTGCTGTGATGAACCTATGAGTGTACGTGTCTTTTTGGTAGAATAATTTGTTTTCTTTTGGATATATACGAAGTAATGGGATTGTTGAGTTGAATGGTGGTTCTGCTTTAAGTTTTGTGAGAATTTTCCAAATTGTCTTCAACAGTGACTCAACTAATTTACATTCTCACCAACATGATAAAAGCGTTCTTTTTTCTTCATCAGAGAGTTATAAGCAGAGGCACAAGCTGACTATCATGTGGTGAGTAAGTTTATGAGAAAAGCAATGGAAGAAGAGAAACCAATAGGAGGAAACAGAATTTTTCCTATCCTTTCTAGAGGAGCTTATGATAAGAAGGCAAGTCAAAGTGGAATTAAGCCAGGATTGAGTTGTCTTATATTTTGTGACCTTATATGGGTAATGATGACTTTCTTTTTTTTTTTTTTTTTGAGACGGAGTTTTGCTCTTGTTGCCCAGGCTGGAGTGCAATGGCACGATCTCGGCTCACCGCAACCTCCGCCTCCTGGGTTCAGGCAATTCTCCTGCCTCAGCCTCCTGAGTAGCTGGGATTACAGGCACGCACCACCATGCCCAGCTAATTTTTTGTATTTTTAGTAGAGACGGGGTTTCACCATGTTGACCAGGATGGTCTAGATCTCTCGACCTCGTGATCTGCCCACCTCGGCCTCCCAAAGTACTGAGATTACAAGCTTGAGCCACCGCGCCCGGCCGATAACTTTCTTTACAGCAGGCTGTGGTTTACCATTAAATACCTCAGATTTAATTGTGTGACTTACTTTACTACTTTTTGGCATTATTTGTAAAGGAATCGATAATGCCAAAAAAGTATTCTATACATATGAGGAGATGTGAGTAGGGAAGATTAATTCGTTTTAACATTACTCTTTAACCAAGTTTTTACATGTTGATGTAGTTCTAAATATGTGTGTAAAACCAAATTGAAATGTAACCAACTCTCATGAATAAGAAATGGCTTTTTTTCCTCTAACTATATAACGTTTATCCCCAAATGTTACCATTTATATTCAGATATTCTCAGATTATCCATTGTCTGCTTTTGAAAATATTAATACTTATCATTTCTCTGTGGATATATACATTATTCTGAGCTACCAGAGTGATTTTATATAATAGATTAATATATAAAGGTATATTAATATATGTTTTTGTTATAAACATGATAAAATATACGGCCAATATTTATTGGGTACTTAGATTCAGGACACAGTTCTGAATGCTATGCATTTAGTAAGTTATTTAATTCTCACAATAATGGTATGTGGTATGTACTACTTTCATCCATATTTAACACGTGAGAAAACTGAAGCAGAGAAAGTCTGAGAAACCTGCTCTAACCACACTCACATTGTGTTTTCAGGACCAAAGGTTTAAATAAAAAGCAAACAGTTCCATCATTTCAAGTGGACAGTTATTTGTTTTTAATGCTCATGTCACAACAATCATTGGCTATTAACCTTAACATTATCAGCTGCTTTTTTCTCATAGCAAATGATCTTCTGCAGCCAGATTCAGCTGATGGATCTGGGAGTGTGGTAGGGATGTGAGGAATGAATTATTTCTGTAAGTGTTTCTTAGAACACTGGTCAGAGGAGGTAATTCCAGGGTGATGGATAAAAAGGGCTCCATGCCCAGAGCAGTTAGGGTGTTAGAGCTATTGTCACATACACAACACCTTTTTAAAGAGAAATGGTGCATATTAATATACTAAAGCATTTTGAAAAATCACTATCACATCCAGCATTTCCCAGGTTCATTGACTTTGGAAACAACCTCCTCACCTGGGTAACAGTAATCCTAATTTTTGTAGAACACGTTTTTGTGAAATGTAGTATTTTGTATACTTGGTAGGGAGTTGCTTACCTTGGACATGAACTACCTGTATGTAAACTTTTGCCTGTTTGCACACACATACTTCCTGTCTTCTCCCAGTCCCCCCACCTGCCAGGCCTGGGGTTCATTACTTTCTTCTGATTCTCAAAAAAATCTCTGACCCTCAAGTTGGTTAGCAATTCCAGACAGGGACTTTCCCTGAAGAAAAATGGGCCAGGTAGGATGAAATCCTTTTTCCACTAGTGCAAAAAGAATGCATCAGGAACTAATGAGCCCATTATTTTAAGTATGAGAGAGAGAGAGAGAGAGAGAGAGAGAGAGAGAGAGAGAGAGAGAGAGAGAGAGAGTGAGTGTGTGTGTGTGTGTGTGTGTGTGAACGAGCGAGGAAGAAAAAACTCCTCTTGCCCCCAAGCTTTTCTAAACAAACCGCTCAATTAGTGTATGGCCCTGTCTCGTACTTGGCATTTCTGAAAAATAAAAAGCTGGCCAAAGTGCCCTTGGCTGTGAAGGTGTCAGTGGAAAAATAGAAATGATTTTTTTCTGTGTTCCTCTAACCTTTGAGTCAAGATTCTATAATAGCCTACAATATATTTGGTGTGACAGTCAAATGATCTGATTCTTTTAAATAAGTTGTGAAAAGTGCAGTCTTTCGTTTGAAGAGACCAGGGCATTAGTGAGGAAAAACAGCAAGTGGTGTGTCTATGCCACATCATCAACTTCCTAGCTCGGCTGTAATTAGGTTCTAGAGTATAATTAGGTTCAGGCAGGGACTATGTGACTCTCACTTGTCACTGTATCCTAAGTACCAAAAACCACACCTGGCACATGCCAGTACTTAATAAATACGCATGGAACGAATGCAAAATAGGTTAGAATCCAAACTGGGTTAATTACAATTTGAATTGCCAATAAAGGTCAGAGGTCTTTCTAGTTCAATCCCCTCATTTTTAGAGAAAACTTAGGCTCCAGGTCAGATCTAAGGGAGAGAAATCCTTAGATTTAGAACCTCCGGCCTGGCAGGTGGGGGGCTGGGAGAAAGGATTTTTCTCCCTTAGGTCTGACCTGGAGCCTTATAACTTGGCTCAGATATACACATTGTACAGAAGGTAGAAATTCTTGGACAAAGAATGACCAGAACCAGGCCTGGTCGTCTTTAGAAAACATACTGTTTTTCATAGTGTTAAGGTGATATTTTGTTCTTGAATTGTACTATTTACCAACTGAGAATAATTTGGGTAGGTAGAATCAGAAAACTGAGAGGTTGGCAAGACACAAGTATAACAAAGAGGGGTAAATGTCACATGAGTTTAATTGCTGTTAGGTAGCAAAGTAAACATAGGAATTTGCTTTTTTTTTTTTTGTAATGCTCTAAATGACAGAGTACAATATGGTTCAATGTATTGGAAATTTTTCTTTTTAAAATTTTGTTCTCTTACAATAAATAATAAGATAAGCTTATGCCTGTATGACATGGATTTCCTGATTTTCCTTTACAAATTAAACTTACATCATTTAGCCCATCACACTACATGTCGTCATTAAAACAAATCCCAGAAATTAACTGTTAGTAGTGAAAACAGAATGTTTGTCAGGATTTGAGTCTTTTAACATTGATTTATTTATTTAGAAATGGAGTCTTGCTTTGTCACCTGAGCTGGACTGCAGTGGCCCGAATTGTGGCTCACGTCAGCCTCCACCTCCTGGGTTCAAGCGATTCTCCAGCCTCAGCCTCCGGAGTAACTACAGAGATGTGCCACCACACCCTGCTAATTTTTGTATTTTTAGTAGAAATGGGGTTTCACCATAATGGCTAGGCTGGTCTTAAACTCCTGATTTCAAGTGATTTGCCTGCTGTGGCCTCCCAAAGTATTGGATTACAGCTGTGAGCTGCCACGCCCAGCCTAAAATTTAAGCAATAATTTTATACTAATTTTTTTATATTCTCACAAATAATGTCCTTTTGCATCTTAGAAAAAAAATGTTTCTCAATTTGAAAAGTATCCATTAAGATTTCTAAAATATTTCTCTTTTCTAATGAAAAATCTTGACATTCAAAGAACAACCAGCAAATTAGAAGTTTGTGAAACGATCATAAATGAGTTGGATATCTCATAGAAAATGGGGAAAAGCAAAATGTAATCAGATTCCCAGACTGTTTTGGCTCTTTGAAAATAAGACATAGGTAACTCAGTGACACTTTTCTCAAGAATGTGAATTCCTCAAAGGGTTCTGTGCATTGATTCGTGGATTCATGTTGTCACAGAGGTCAACAATTAGCAGAGACTGGAGTTAAAATGAAATAAGGCATTGGCATGGGGCTAGGGGATTAGGATCTGAACGTTGACATTTTAGCCATTGAAAAAAACGGGAGTTATTACTAAATGATAGAATCATTATAAAAGTTATTTCTCTCTGGACAAAACTCTACCAATAAAGTCTGGTTTGTTAATGCTTATTTCCACATGGGTAAAAATGTCTGACAATGTGTCTGAATATATTATATAAACAATCAACATGTTCTTTGAATATTAAAAAGAGTTAGCTTTGGGACATTTTCCTCTCACACAAATATTCTTTATTTTTTCCCTTATTGTTCTGTGTATTGTGTCCTCAATATAAATATTTAGCACATCAAGATTTAATAAAAATCAAAACAAAAACAGCAATTTGAAAAGTAGTTTCTTATTCTATAAAATAGCTATCGTACTGATTGATTGCAAATAAGTATTTATTTAGCTTGTAATGATCATTAGGTAGTATGTTTTAAAAAATCTATCCAAATGTATCTCCAAAAGCCTTGTTATAATGACTCCTCAGATTTGCTAATATTTTAGGTAGATAGTATATGTTTAAAATATTTTATACATATATATATATTTAAAGACTAGAATTAGGGGATGATACATCATTCTCTGTGACATGCTTATTTCACATCTCATGCCTGTATTGAAACATCTCATATATCCCATAAATATATCTACCTACTATGTACCCACTAAAAATTAAAAATAAGGAAATAGAAGCAGAGGAGGAAGAAGCAAAGAGAAGAAAAACCACAGTTTTTAAAAGACTAGTATTAAACATTGTCTAGCTATTATTTGGACTTTAATAATAATAGAAGCAAACACCATTTATAAACACAAGAAGACATCATATTTATATCACTGCTTCCTCCCTGCTATGTTCTTAAAAACTACTAAGATCAATACTAATATGAAGAAAGTAGAGTCTCCTCATTAATACAGGAAGGACAAAAGTCGGATTCTAACTTTGCCTACCTATCTCCATAATGCAGCTGCTTTTTTGCTCATACAGATAGCATTTCTTTTGGCCAGAGTGATGAGCTACAAGCCAAAGGCAAGGTTATGTGTGCTGAGCTAGTCAGTTACCCATGTGGTATGCTTCTGGGGGGCAAGGAAGTGTTCCAGGTAATGATGCTGGTGACTCCTTACATTCAGGCAAGTCCTGGTCATTGTGAGATGTCCATAGAGTCTCACATTTACCTCCCTGAGCTAGGGAATGAGCTTCCTTTCTGGAGAAGCTAGTCAGATTTTATTGGCAACAAATTTAGTAAGGGATCCTCTCATTTAGGACAGACTGTAAAGATGACTTTTATTGCTTTTTATGATAAACAGTACTCATTAACAAGAAAGCAAAAGTATGTTAAATCAGGAGGAAGAAGAGCAAAAAGCAGGAACCGTGGAATTAGTGAAGCTAGAGTTTTTATACTGTTCCAGCCTCTACCTAGTTTTGACTCAGTCATTTACTGCTGTAAATGAAATAAAACTTTTTTAGTGTTTTGGGGGTTAAATGAGATGCTGCATGAAAACCACGTAGCATGTTTCCTGAAACATGGTATCTTTGAATAAATCATATATTGCTATTATTATTATTATTATTATTATTATTATTATTTTGAGACACAGTTTCACTCTTGTTACCCAGGCTGGAGTGCAATGGCGTGATCTCGGCTCACTGCAACCTCCGCCTCCTGGGTTCAGGCAATTCTCCTGCCTCAGCCTCCTGAGTAGCTGGGATTACAGGTACGCACCACCATGCCCAGCTAATTTTTTTGTATTTTTAGTAGAGACGGGGTTTCACCATGTTGACCAGGATGGTCTCGATCTCTTGACCTCGTGATCCACCCACCTCGGCCTCCCAAAGTGCTGGGATTACAGGCTTGAGCCACCGCGCCCGGCCTATATTGCTATTATTATTAATGATGTGGTATAAAAAACAATGATCTATTATTCTACCACCAGAGGCTAAAAATTTTTACACTTTTATGGGTTTCCTTTTTGCTATTTTTTTTCTGGCCATAGTTTTACATTGTTGAGATCATATTGCATATGTAGTTTTGTATGCTTTGTTTTGTTTAACACAATATGGCATTAAAAACAGAATGCTGTTTTTTGTCTACCATATTGGCAATGATGATAAAAGATAACACTCGATGCTGGCAAGAGTAAGGTTATGGGCGCCATGCACATCACTGATGAGAGTATCAGCTGGTATAAACTTTCAGGAAGGCAACTTGAAAAATATTGTTCAAGAGCATTAAAATTCTTTTACCTTTTGACCTGATAAGTTTATGTCTATATAGCCAGTCTCAGGAAATAAGTGAATTATGAACAAAGGCTTATGGTCAAGGAAGTTAATTGAAGAATCATTTATAAAAATAAAAGTATAAAAATTATTACTGTCTACCATAATGAAACTGCTAAATTATGCCACATTAAAAAAAAAGGAATATTTACAGATGTTAAAGTCCAATTTTCAAAGAAGGTTAGATTACATGGAAAAGTGGTTTTCATATGATGTTACATAGGTTGAACACAATGTGTGATGCAAACCACGTAGCATGTTTCCTGAAACTCCAGGATTCCAATTTTGTTTCAAAAAGAAGTATGTGTGGGGAATGGTCTGGAAAAATGTATGCCTGGATGTTATCAAGATTATCTCTGGCTGGTGGGATTGTATATTCATTTTTTTCTCAAGTTTTCTATTTCGAACATGGACCTATATATAAACATAAAAGACATCTACATAGGGGTGTGTGTGTGTGTGTGTGTGTGTGTGTGTGTGTGTGTATAATGGGAACAAATATAATGAGAATTTCCCCATGCCATAAGATAATCTTAAAATTTCAGAACTATGTATTTTTAAGAGCTTTATAGTTTTTTTTTTTTTGTGGATCC